TGTGGGAAAACAAGTCTTGTTACTGTAGGACCCTTGGTTTCCCTATAACACTAGAGGCTCCTGTTAAGCACTGGGCTCAAGTGAGGTGGGTCCTGAAGCCAGTCAGGAAGAGAAGCAGAGGAAGGCCCAGCAGGGCTGAGGGAGCGAGCGTGGGGCTGCCTTTATCACTCACTTGTGCCTGTGGCCCTGGTCACCTACAGATCCAGGTGAGCTTCCTCGAGGAGGTGCTGCCTGAACTGGGTAAGGTGAGGAAGGGAGGGAAGGTTTCTGCCAGGGAGAATAGCATGTGCAAAGATAGAGAGGCATACATAGCATGGCTCAGTGTTCAAACCTTCTGGAGTCGAGTGGCTAGAAAGTACAGGTGGCAGGAGATGAGATTGGAGAGGTGGGTCATGGAAATGAAGCCAGAGGCCCTAAAAATCCAACCACGATCCTTGTCTGGAGCGTTACTTTGACTGAAGAGTCACATAATCACATGTGAATTTTTTAAATACAGAAAATGGATTGGAGAGAGATGTTTTTGAAGGCAGAGGTTACTGGAGTAATCATCATAAGAAGTGATAAAAGGAGGCAGTAGCAGTAGGAATAGAAAGGGAGAGGAAGAAAGTGAGTGGAGATATTTTATTGATAGTGTTGACATTGGTGACTAGTTAGTAATAACTGACATTTGAGGAGTGCTCACTATGTACCACATAGTGTGCAAAACAAATACGTTCACTCATTCAACCTCTACAATATACTCTATTATTATCCCCAATTTACACGTAAGGATATTGATGCATAGAGGGGTGAAATGATAGTCCAGTGTCACCCAGCTAATAAGTGGAAGATCTGAGATACGACCTGTTCAACCCTTGATTCACCATTTTTCTCCCCAATGTTGGTTCCTCTCTGCTTCTTCCTGGTGCTGCCAACTCTCACACTAGATGTTTTAGAGCTCTGGTTCTGAGCTCAGGTTTCAGTGTTGTTGGGTCCGAGATGTGGGCATGAGTTGGCTGGAACATTGGAGAGTGCAGACACTCAGGAAGGAGGATACTGTCCCAGAAATGATGAGAAGCAAAGAGCTTTACAGAGGATTAAGCGTCAGCATGACCTAAAGCAGCCCGGAGGTCTAGCAAGAAAAGGATGGGAAAACAGAGCAACAGGAAAGCCATCACTAAGTTCCAACCCAGCACTTTTAGCAGAGTGGTAGAGGCAAAGGAAAGCAAAGTTTACATTGCAGGCGGATGAGAAGAGAAGGAGAGGTCAGGAGGTAGAAACTTGGATCCTGGAAAAACATTTTCATGAAGTTGGCTGTGAAGGGAGATCAAATCACAAGGTCTAGAGAATGTTTAATATTGTCGGTTCTGCTTTTTAAGCACTGAAGAAACATGGTCATGCTTAGGAAGACAGGAGATCTAAAGGAATGCATTTCCTGAAGAAATGAGGGGCCATAGCACCCAAAAAGGGTGGTGGGGGCAGGGGCGACACAGAAGGAGGGAATGTAGCAAAAATGGGTAAAAGTTCTACTTTGAGGTCCAAAATGTTTAGTTAAGTTCCCACCGATGGCCTCTGTTCATTCTGTAAAGAGAATTATCCGCTGAAAATTCATATAGGGTTAGGAAAGAGGAGAGCTTGTTGTTGAATTTTCAGGAATTCTGTGAGTGGGTTGTTAAACAAGGCCACTAAAATGGGAGCACAGTAAGAGCATTTAACCTTGGAAACTGGCAAATGTTGTTTTTCTTTTCTTTTTGTTTAGAGCCAGTTTCCCAGTGCACTCTGTGAAGGGGGCTTGAACAGAGGGCTTCCAAAGGGGATGAGGAGAAGAGGAGGGCATGCAGGAGGACCATGAAGAATGACCCCACATCAGTGAGGAACATGGGAAGCACAAATCCTCTCCCACCTCAGCAGGCTGGGTATAGAGTAGCAAAGACAGATGGCTGGACGGAGCTGAAAGCTGGGAGTCTGCAGGATGAATGTGGTGGAGGGCAAGAGAACAAAGGAAATGAAGATTTGACCAGCAAGGGGTTGAGGGGATGAACTCTGGAGTCGAGCTTGGATAAGAAAGCAAAGAGGCCAATAAGAGGGCCAATAAATTGGGGGATATGGAGGTGCTGAAGAGACTGGAGGCCTTGATGCAATGATGGGAGGAACAGGAGGCATAAGTGGTAAGAGATATTGCAACTTTAGCTTCTAGAGGTAGAGTAGCTTCAAAGTGACAATATCAATGTTGTGGCCATGGATATGGCCATCTGAAGCAGAAGATGGATAAGAGTCACTGGACTTAGATCGATCTCTCTAGGTACAAAACTCTTATAACTGTAAGGCCTTGGTGTTAGTTGCGTTGTCCAACAGGACATTTAAAGTTGCTCAGAAGGTTGGCAGGTCTTGAGGTAAGGACGAGGACATTAAGCCATCTTGTTGGTGATGAATGCGTCACTTTGAGAGGTTGAGTGACTTGCTCAAGGTCACATAGTCAGCAAATGACTGGACCCCGCTTTAGCAATCTGGCTGACCCCTCCTTCTGGAGCTCCCTGTTCTGAGATTCTCTGGTTCTGACTCTCTCTGGATCCCAGCTCTTCTACTCAGGGGTGAGAACCAAGAGCAGAGACAAAACTTCCTTCCACTCTGAGCATCTTTTGTGGAGAATGATTTGTGTTTTACATTTATCTATTTCATTATTTCCCTCCACTGAACTCAAAAAGCTTCTTCAAAGCTGTGGTACATATATACAATGGAATATTACTCAGCCATAAGAAGAGATGAAATACTGCCATTTGCGATAACATGGATGGACCTCGAGATAATCATGCTAAGCAAAATAAGCCAGACAGAAAAAGCTCAAAATCACATGATATCATTTGTATGTGGGATATAAACCTCAAAGCAACAAAGGAACAGGATAAACAGAGATTCATGGACATGGACTATAGACTAGTGGTTACCAAAGATATACAGATGTCAAATGATAATGTACACCTGAAAATTATATAATTGTATGAACCAATGTTACCCCAATAAACTTAATAATAAAAAAAAGCTTCCTCAAGAGACAATGGTCTTCTTATTGGCTTTGGGGAGAGAGAGGGGGACATTATAATGGTGCTTTGGTTCCTTTTTTTAAGGGAGTCTTTTAGAGATCCATACTGAAATATTTATAGATAAAATGCTATAATGTCTTGGATTTATTTCAAAATAATCCAGGCCTGGGAGTGGAAAGAGGCATGAGTGGGAGTATAGAACAAACAAGATTGGCCAAGACTTGTAACTGTTGAAATTGAGTGATGGGGACATGAGAGTTCATTGCACTCTTCTCTCTATTTTTGTAAATGTGGTTTGAAATTTTCCATAATAAAAGCCAGTTGTCTGATGGGTTGTTAGCAAAAAGCACCAGTTGTCTGATGGGTTGTTAGCAAAAAAGCAGAAGCCACTGAGCCTCGCCTGCTCTCTTCCAGACCCTTATCTACTCTCCCTCACCCCCTTCCCTCTGTTCAGGCCAAGAGGAAGCATTGCGACCCTGCAGGCCAAGTGGGGATCTGCCAGCTTTGTAAGTTACGAACAACATGAATCTGATCCCCATGTTGGCCTAAAACTTACTGTTCTTCATGTATCTGTGATGAGGTCTAACTTGGCCCTGAAACCCCTCTAGGGAAAAGGCTCGGCTGAGGTTGTTCTCCACATCACACAGCACTAATCTCCCACATCTGGACAGAACTGCACCCTGGGCTCCACCGCCCAACTGTCCATGAGCTCATTCATGACAAGCCTCTTGGCGAACTCACATGAGAGAGAAAGCAAGGGCGGGGGCGGGGCCATCACAACCACCCTGCATCGCTGCTCCCTCTCCCATGTGGGTCCCCATGGCATTGACCTCAGTGCATGATAGCAGAAAACACACTGGGCAGCCCCGTTCTCAGCCTGGCTCAGCCATGAATTTGTGTGGGCCTGTGGGAAACTTTCTGCTGCCTCCTTTGTAACACGGGTGGGGTAGGCCTGAGTCACTGCTGCCCAGATATAGCTCATCCCTGATGCTGCTCTGTTTTCAGAGCCTGCTGAGAGGCCTCAAAAATTAACTACAAGGACAGAAATGGGAAGAGTCAAGGACAAGTTGCTTCTTGGACCAGAAATTCCAGTAGGGCAAGACTTGGGTGCCTGCCATTTTTTTGAGCTTGTGCACACACCACACACACAAGTTTTGGAGCCTCGGCTTCCTCATCAGCAGAAAGGGGCTAATGATAACACCTGCTTCATGGGGCTTTTAGAAAGCTCAAACAAGAGGAGTGGAAAAGGCCGGAGGATTACCACAATCAACTTTGAGCAGCTGAGGCTGTGGTCCCCAGTATTCCTCTCTTCCCTCCACTTCCTCCCTCCCTGCCCCAGCCAGTTGGGAAATGGACCTTCTTGGATGCCGGGTTGTTTTCCCTGGCCTGGCTCCCACTCAGGGTCTTTGTGCATGCTGGACGGTGGCCAGGGGTGGAACGTTGTGCACTGGTGAGAACAGGCTGCCAGTGGAGGCTAGAGGCCCAGGAGGAGGTGCTGGGCTTACTTCTCCAGTTAAAGAGACATGGCCACTGGGTCCTCCTCAGAACGCAGGAAGGACGGCCCCCTCCCACTTACAGCCAGAGGAGACCTTTCACATTTGGGACCCAAACACTAAGAAAGCACCCACAACTCAAATGATTTCTGCCGCACTAGGTGATGACAAATACTTTCTCAGTGTTGGCCCTTAAAGGTGCTGCTGTGCGTCCTGAATCATCAGAAACACTCTGCTCTGACTCTGCTCTTGTTGCCTGGGGGTTAATTATATTTGACCACATTTAATACGATAGTATAATAAATTTTACCACATCCAATATTTGAATGAAAATTTGTGATTCGTTCAAAACCATTAGTGGTTTTTTCTTTTTTTGAGCAGAAGACCATTATTTTTACACAATTATGTGAAGAACTTCGATCTGTGGAATTGCTCTGGCTGAAACAGGAGAG